GATCTCCTCCTCCTCCGCCTCCTTGATATGATCACCGACGTCGAGAGAGAGGCAAAGATTAGGGCAAGGGACGTGGATATTGTCGCGAGGAGGAAGAAGATCGGCATCGTGAGGGGTGAGGCGGTTTTGGGAAAGAGAAGATCGTTGCACAGTAGAAGCTCGAGTCGATGGAGTTCGGGTCTGCTTAGTTCGCCGGCGATCGAAGCTCAGAACCAGGCAGTGGTGCTGTAATGCAAGGATTATGCGAACAGCTTGGTCTCCCCTCTTTTTCTGAGTTTTTCGACCTCTCCCCTTAAGCTTGCTGGAAGAGGCTCTTTAAATGGAAGAAGGACAGCTTGACTACTCCTTGAATTATGGGATATGAGCATACATTGTTCGGAGATGTCCTGTTGTCTACTCGTATCGCCAGCGGTCATTCGAAGAGCTGCGCTCTGCATCACGTTACGTAAGAGTGGGAAAGCCCCTCCTCGTATGCGTGACAACGGCTGTCAGATGCTTGCGGGGATCTGACCAAACACCGAGCGCCGACGGCTCTCGTCCTCTCGCTTGGACAACTGAGGTGAGCCGCATTTATGAGGGTGCATGCTGCTTTGACACCTGTCTGCCCACTTGTACTATAGGCGGCTATCCGGCGGGCCTGGAGTACCGTGTCTTCTCTCTTCAGGCCAAGAGAGGCGGGAAAGCATGTTCCTGGCACTCGAGTGGGTTTGGACAGTTCGCCGAATGCTGGCGGATCCGTCTCCTGACCCAGACAACCGAGGCGAGTCGCATTTATGACTATTCAGGTCGACTCGACACTTGTCCAGTCCTTCGTACTGTGCGTGCTGTGAGCGGCCGCTTGACGGTCTTGGAGTACTGTGCCCTCTCCCTTCGGGTCGAGAGAGATAGGAAGGCCCATCTCAGCACTTGGGGTAGCGGATTGGGGTAGCGGATACGGGCGACCTTGAGGTTTGCAGGTGAATTCAACTTTGGACTCGGGCAGGCGAGTTGCGTGAAAGGCGAATTTCCGCTATCCTAATCGATCTCAACTCGTGCAGGCGAGCCGATCGTTAGGCGAACCTAGAATCTAGTACATTTGACGTCTACGCGGTTTAGGCCCGTGCTAGAGAACTGAGCGTGCGAGTTCTTCTCATAGGCGAATTTCTTGTAAGCCCATGGAGGTATTTTTTACCGTCTACAAGACCCCCTTCAAAGTTTTCAGACCTAAACCGGCTCGCGTGTGGTCTGGAATACTTTGAATGAAGAAAATTTTGGCGAAGCAAGCGCCTTTGGGTTTCTTTTAGGATTTTTAGCAAACCCTCAGCTATCAACGGGTTTGATGTGCCTTTACCGATCACCGTTTGAACCGGGCTAGCCATCCTATTCCCCTCAGTATGATGAGTTGTTGAGCAGTTTCTCTTAGGCTTAGTGCTAAGATTTATGCTCTAACCCTTAGCCGTCTGAGGCGTGGGTTTAACCGTTTAAGCGAGGTCATTCTATTGGCTTCGTTTGTAATTTTACCTTCAAGGGCGAATGAATCGTCAAGGCAAAATTAATCTTTGGAAGCCAAATTTTGTGCGACTCGTGGGGTCAGGCCAAGTATTCGTAGGCGAGACCCCTCCTTTTTGGGGCGGAACCAAATCTGATGGGAGATGAGCCACGTGTCTGCCGATAGGGCTTCGTGCTTCCCAGCTAAGGCGGCGCGGTCTCGTCGGGTCGTGGTGATCGTGACTTGACAACATGATGTCAGCTTCGTGTGTTTCGCCCCACGACGCATCGTGGCCGTGGTTTTCAAACCAGGCCGTTAGATCAAGTCGTGGGTTTTGGTTCGGGTCACGGGCTTTGACCGGCCCGTTCCCCTTTTCAATGGCTCTTTCGCAACTGTAGAACGAGTTGTGAAGGACAATCTGGGCCGTCGATTTCGATCATGGCCACGTCTCTTGAACGCGAGTGTCTTGTTTTGCAAGTGCCATCAGGGCCACACAAGCCCTTTCGCCTTTAAATAGGTTTCGTCCTTCTCCTCTTTTTGAAAGTTACTGTGTGTGAGAACCTCCCAAAAGAAAAAGAATTCCCGCTTCGTTTCAATGGCGTCGAAATCCAAGAGGTGTAAAGTGAGGAGAAAGGGTCCCGGACGCTACTCTGATCGCCTAGCCGCCGGTGTGACCGCCAATGTGCCTGAGGCGCGCTCGGGTAAGTTGAAAAAGTTTGCTTTAACGTTCTCGTGTTGGTCACCGCTGTCGTGCCAGGAAGATGAGTGCTGCTCATTTTGCCTTGGTGGGTTAGGCAGTCCCCGTGATTTTGGTAAAACTGCCCCTTTTCAGGCGGATTTTACCTTCATCCGCGTTGGGCGATTCCAGCCTTTATAGGCGAGATTGGTCTCTATTAGGCGAAGGTGAACTCGTCTTCTGACAGGCGAGTTCGACTTTCGTCTAGTAAAGGCGAACGTGGCTTATGCAAGCGGGTCTCATCATGTCGGGCGAATTTCGCTCCTTGACAGGCGGATCTGCATCTGCCTCCTGATTTTTCTTGACTTTGTTTTGCAGCGACCTTTTCCGACCAAGCCCTCCCGAAGGGCGTGGCTACCGGCTTCGCCGGAGGTGCAGGTAATCCAGCGCCTCCCCGATTTCCTTCCTTGGGTCAGGTGCCCGTGTTCTCCGCCGATAAGTCGGTTGGCTCGACAAGGAGAGTCACCGATGGGTACCACTTAACGCTGCGGGAGTTGACTACTGACGCGGTGTTGACAGACGAGGACAGGGCGGAGCTGCCGAAGCCTCAGTTTTTGTTTGGCGATTCTATCACCGATCCTTCCGCTCTGCTGCTCAAGGAGAGCAGATGGTTGCGTACAGTGGAGGGGACTCACTATTACCTTCCCGACATGCTGAGGGGGTTCTCGATCGTCGGGCTACGGTCTTTTGCGGTCCCTCGAGTGATGAACTGGGACTTGACCCCCACTCAGGACAGGGTCACCTGTGGTGTCTTTACAGGCTCCACGGCAGGATATGGGGTGGAGGGATCATGTAAGCGCGTGACGGGTCTGCGCCGTGGCCTACTGTCCAATGAGCCGCCTGCGGGGGAGTCGACGGCGGTAGCGGAGACCTTTCGTCACCGCTTCTTTCGAGCAGGTGGGAGTTTTCCCCCAAAGGACTTCAGAGCCCCGGGGTGGGTATATTCTGCACCGGGCAGCGATACTTGGTGGTCCAAGATCACCGATTGCATCCTGGCTAAGAATTCCGACCTCAGGAATTCGGACCTGTATGCGGCCATTCAAACCACTCGACATGGTTTGAGGATTAATGCCTCTCAGTTCCACAACATCCTGGAACTGTACTGTGCGGAAAGCGGCACCTTCTTCACCCCCAACGGTGAACTTGGTATGTCCCCTCACGAGATGTATGACGTGTCAGGGCTGCCTCTGGGGGACTTTCCTTACGAGGAGTACATCCCAGACCAAGATGAGATCGACCAGCTTTCCGACTGTTCTCCCTTGGCAGTGGAAACTCTGTGGGAGTTGCTCTGCCATTATCACATCTGCCTCAGCTCCTTGGGGTCTAGGGATCACAAGGGGAAGAAGAAGAGGACTCCGGGAATCAGTCACAAGAATTGGGCTGACTATCTGTTCCCTGGGAACGACGTCAAAGGGAATCCCACTCTTCCTCTAGGCGGGTGCGACCAGGCTGAAGTGGAAAGGAGGATGGCTGAAGAGGAAGCCACTATAGCTCTTGATCATGACGAGGGCGGGTTCAAGTCTGGAACGGTCTTCCATTCGTTTCACCACCAGGCCATGTCCCCTATTTCTGGGAAGGCCCTGTTCGCGGGGTACCTCATGTTGTGGCTGAAGAGGTGCGTGGTCCCCACTCATTCCTTCGAGGTGCTCTCGGTGGAGGTGGTGTATCCTGCGGTTTGCTTAGCCCACGGGAAGTCCTATTCTTTGGTGTCGGCGACGATAGCGTGTATCCATCGAGGACTCCGCACGCTGACAGCCCAGTTCTGCCGTGTGTCGACTGTCGACGAAGGGGAAGGGGAAGTCATTAGGACCCCCAATCCCAGAGTGGGACTGCCGTACACTTACTTAATGGCGTGGTTTGTTTACCACTGTGAGTGTTTGATTAGCGCTCCCGCGACTCTTCCAGGAGACAGGTTCGTTCCGTTCCTTAAGCATTTGGAGAGGTGCTCTTGGAAGTGTAAAGACATTCCCGATGCGCGGAAGACGCTCTCCCACTTTGTCCACTACAATTTTCGTCGCTTCTTCCCCTACTTCAGCGGAGGAAGATACGGCGAGTCTCTTAGGGACGTGCCGACGGCGGACCACCACACAGCTCTCTCACGTGGCGCTTTTCAATGGTTGGTGAATATTCGGCCGGGGTATCACATTCTACGCATAGGTTCTGTGTGCTATCTTGAGCCGTATATCCCCTGCAGGTTTGCCCGTCAGTTCGGGTACGACCAATTGTACGTGGGCAACGCCAATCCCCGTCTACACTTCGAAGGAGGACTGGTGGATGGAGCTCGGGGATGGTTCTGGACCCATGCTGGTGGCACCCAGGCTCGTTTTGAGTTACCCGCGAAGGATCGTGATTTGCACCACACGCTCCTGTACTGTCGGTGGTATCAGGGCACCAGTGCTAATCCCTCTGGTTTCTGGTTCCAGGGTTCGTGTTTGGCGGAATAGGGGCGCCCTCCCGTAAGGCCTCTTCGTTCTTCGAGACGGAGGGGTCGCCAAACTGCTAAGGAATAGCTTCTGGAGGACCCAGCTGAGGACGCTGAGGGTAGCGACGTGGGTACAGGTGAGTCTGAAGTGCCCGAGGCCCGAGTTCCTTCTCCTGGTCCTTCGTTGGACCCCCAAAATGAGCGGGGAGAAGCTGATGAGTTAACCCGGGCGGGCGAGAGGCTAGAGCGAGCCCGGAGCGCGATAGCGGGGCGAATGGGAATGCCTCTCCTATCTCCGAGTAGTTCGCTGCTCTCCAAGCGACAGCGGGAGTTCCAGAGCGGAAACGGCTAAGAAGACTCGTCACGAGGAAACTATGGAGGCCGTTAGAGCGGCGGAGGGTCAGGATGATGATGCCTCTGGGGCTGGAGTTGTTCAGTCTACCTCTCCTGCCGCATCGAGGGCGGCTCCGGCGACTTCGAAGGACACTCCCTCGCAATCTGGCGTGAGGCCACAGACGGGAGTTCCAGCGGCTTTTGTGTCCATATCAGGAGGTAATCTTTGCAACAGTACCCTTGATCGCAACATTGACCTTACACCTTTTGACACTTGTATTGGGCCTATGCAGATGCGGTTGAGAAAGTGATCTCCATTCCTTCTGACGAAGATGAGGAGGCTGGGAATGAAGAGGGGCCCACAGGCTCAGGTAAGCGTAGGTTTTAGCATTACTCATCCTTCCGTACCCAACTGTCGATAAGGTCCCTTTCGAGGGTCCTATGTTAACCCTCTTCATGCATTCGCAGCTGATCCTGCCCCTGAAGTCGTTTGCAAAGAGGATCCTCCCTCTTGGGCGAGTCGCTCGTCTGGGGAGACGGGCGAATCTGAGGAGGATGACGACGTCTCGGTTCATGAGATGTTATCCAGTGAGGAAGAGGTGTTGGCTCATGAGGATGCGCCTGGCCAAATAGAGAGATCTCCTGCTCCTGCGGAAGCGTCGGCTGGGGATCGTCCATCAGCGCGAGAGTCTCCGCTTCAAAGGGAGGCTTCTACTCTGCAAGTGACCACCCGCTGCTCCGAGGGCGTCATTGGTCACACCGGCTTGGGCGGCGCCAATCCCGACTTCTACGGTTATGACCACAGGTACTTCAACCGTGATTTCCTCCATGGTGGAGGAGGCTGCCCTCTATCCCTTGGAGCGCGAGCGAAAAAGGAGTGCGACACGATCCTTGGCTGATTTCCAAGACAATCTAGCCGGCTGCATCAAGCTCGCTTTGGAGGAGAGTTGTCCCTTCGAGAGTTTTGAAGAGGATCTCGACTACATCGTGTGCTTCTTAATCAAGAGGCTTGGCCATACTACATCGAAGCCCTACTTCCAGCGTAAGGAGGAAGTGAAGGAAGCTGTTCAACGGTTACTTGCTCTTCGCGCGAAGAGTTCCACTCTTGTGGATCTTGCATCCAGCGAGGTCCGAGCAGCAATGGAAGAACGCGATCGCCGTCTGAACGAGACCATGTCACTAGAGGCAAGATTGTCAGCAGAGTTGGAGCAGGCCAAGGCTGAGGATGAACGAATGGCCCTCGAGCAACAAAAGGCCAATAACCGCGTTTCTCGCTTGACTTCGGAGGTAGAGCATCTGAAGCAAGTTATAGCTAAGGTGCAAGCCTCATTGGCCGTTCAAGAGAAGGCTCGTGAACAGGCAGCCAAGGAATTGGAGATCATTGAATCCCATCGGACACTGACGGCTAATTCCGTTGAGGAAAAGGATCGAGCCTATAGGGAGATCAAAGAGACCGTCCAAGACTTGGCCTCACGCACTGAGGAGGATCTTCGCCAAGAGATCCTGAGGAGGCTAGAGTTTCGTCATGCTAGGGAGATTCGTGAGGCGGAACTGCGGTTGAAAGCCTTGTAATTTGTCCCTTTTGTCTTTGATTGCCAGTTGTACTAGGATTTCTTTCTATGAATGAAATTATCCTTTTGTTTTTGGTTACTATTACTCCTGTGCATGCTCCATTTCTCTTTTAACATGCGTTAGCTAAAGTGTTAGTTGTGAGGGGCGGTCTTCAGCCGTCGGCGTATTTCGGTCGTAAGCTTGTCTCCTCTGCGAGCGGATTTCGTCTGCAGGCGGATTTGGAATTGACTCTAGTTCCAGAAGTGCAATCAGCTTTGACTCGCGGCAATCTCGGCGGTGAATTCGCCATCAGATAGGCTCCGCTTTTGGTGGGCCATGCATTGGTTCGTGCTTACGTCAGCCGAGCGTATTGAATGCGGCGTAGTGGGGCTCTTCGTCCCTCGCGCCTGATTCGGGCCGTATTTGAAGATCGTGCTTAAGAAAAACCGTTGGATCTTGGCCGTCCAGGTAAGATCCGATTTGTTCGGCCTTACCCTTCAACTGTTTTAGCCTTGAACGGTCTAATCAAGTGTTGAGTAACCGCCTAGGGTTCTTAGGGTATTTAACACCCTTACTCCCTATCAGGAGGATCTACAGCCTTCTCATTGTCTTCCCCAGAGTTAACCCAAATTTCTCCTTCCTCATACCCCCGATGGCGCCGAAGGTGAAGAGGATCGCTTCTAAGAAAAGGAAAGAACCGTCTTCTTCAGGCGTTGCTGAGGCTGCCGCGGCCGAAGGTATCTTTTCGTTTAGACTCTCGCGTGGGCTGAACAGGTATTCTCCCCTTGACTCCTCTCTGTGTTGTCGTTGTGTTTTGCAGATCGAGGGGAGGCGCCGGCTGCCAAGGAGCATACGGCCGAGCCTATCCTGATTTCAGACGACGAATCCAAAGGTCCTGCGACCTCTGCCGCCTCAGACCCTGCTCCCCAGCCGGGAGCTGAGCCCTGCCTCGAAATTCCTCCCATCGTGGCGCTCGCTCCGGGCCAAGAGCCTGCTCCCTCTGAGTCCTTGTCCTGGCAGGCACGCATCGAAGAGTTTGAGAGCACTGTGAGACAGGTGATTTCCCTTGTCGACCTTGGCATGGGTAGCTTTGACAGCTTCAGGCAGTCTCTCCTTGATCGCGTGGCTGATTTACGGCGATCGGGCGAAAATCGGCTCGCTACCCGTTGCATGCATGAACTCCGTCTCTTGGAGTCACTCATGATAGAGTTAGAGACCTTGCTACGGGAAGGTCCGGAAGCCAACATGGAGTCTTGCCTGGCTCATGTCAGGCGTCAGGAAGCCCTGGAGTAGGAGACCCGTTCCAGAGAAATAGCAGATTTGGAGTCTACCGCCAATTTCTGGGTGGGTGTAGGCTGTCTAAAAATCATACCTCTGACAAATCCGCTTATCAATCCTCGTCAATAGGATGATAAGTCCACAAAGTTGCTCCAATCGCAACATTCTCTTGTCATGTTAACACCATACCTCTTCTGACAATTCGCTTATCAATCCTTTTTAATAGGATGATAAGTCCACAAAGTTGCTCCAATCGCAACACATTCCTGTCACGTTAATATCACACCTCTGACGACCAAATCCACTTATCGACTCTCCCCAATAGAGCGATAAGTCCACAAAATTGCCCTGATCGCAATATCTTTTCCGTCAAGTTAATATCACACCTCTGACGACACAATCAACTTATCGACTCTTTTCAATTGAGCGATAGGTCCATAAAATACTGTTAGGTTAACATCAAACCTCTAACAGTCAAACCCCCCAATGAACTTGTTAATCCTTTTTCAACAAGAATAGCAAGTTTTCATTATGAAATCCCCAACGGATTAAAGATTTTCTGAAATTATCCTAGTGATAGTGAAGAAAATTTCTGAATTTCACTCTAATTTCTGGAATTCATGCCAAGTTAATACTACACCTCTGGCACTTCTAATTTTCTTTCAGTGTTTCAAGTGAAAATATAACACAGGAAGAAATAGTAACAAAGTCTACGTATTCAACATCGTAGCGGGTCGTTATTAATAACGCCCAAATCCATGCCTTACACGCATGGGGAACTTTATCCCAAATCCTAAGTAGGGATAAGCCTACGCCTAACACGCATTGCCGGTTAGTCTTTCACCGTATAAAGGACAAAAGTCTATGTATTCAAAATCATAGCATCAAGTCTAAGAGAGTTCATTCTCTTATCACAACGTTACATGTGGAACGGACTTAGACAATCCACATGCTAGCCCGATTCAAACGGTAGTCGGTAAAGGCTTATCAAATCCGTTGATGGCTGAGGGTTTGCCAAAAATCCTATGCAGGTTTTCAGGCCCACCAGCTTAATGGACGTGAGCCAAGACTTGAAATGAATAAGCTGAAGACAAGTCTCAAAGATTTAGTCAAAAATGCATGAAAGTCACCTCCGCGTCTCACATCGAAACGCCAAGGTCAGACCAGCGTCGCAAAAATGATAACGCCAAGGTCATAGCCACGTTTTAAGTCAGAACGCCAAGGTCAGACCCGCGTCGCAAAAACCACAATGCCGAGGTCAGACCCGCGATGCAAAGACGATAACGCCAAAGTCATAGTCCCGTTTCAAGTCAAAATGCTAAGGTCAGACCCGCGATGCAAAGACGATAACGCCAAAGTCATAGTCGCGTTTCAAGTCAAAATGCTGAGGTCAGACACGCGATGAAAAAACTGAACGCCGAGGTCACGTCCGCGTCTCAAGTTCAAAATGCAGGGTCCACCCCCAACATTCCAGAAGCAGGATTATGGCACATACCTTCACACAGGCCCTATGTGACAAATTCCTTCAACCAAGATGCCTTCGAAGCGAGTGCAGAGAACGACTCCTTTACAACAAGGAATCAACAGCTCCAAGATCAGAGTTGAGATCCAAAGTATTCCGAAAATTCGTCCCAGTCAACCGCGAACTTTCGAAAACTTTGGAGGGGGTTCTGTAGGCTGTCTAAAAATCACAATATATAGCTTATCCCCCATCAAACACTGATGATGGAAGTTACAATCTGACGACTTCCAGAAGGCTACAATTTGAAGACTTTCACGTAGATGGCTGAAGGTTACAATCTGACGACCTTCACGACAACTGATGGAAGCTCTACTTCAACAGCCTTCACAATCAACATCGGGAGTTACAATCTGACGACTCTCATATTCTTAAGGAGCCAAGACGAAGATTACAAGACAATGATCTTTGCAACGCTATGACAAAGGCAAGACGCGGAGGTCCTCCCCGTGTATCAATAGTAAAACGCCAAGGTCGAAACCCGCGTTACAATAGTAAAACGCCAAGGTCGAAACCCGCGTTACAACATCAAAACGCCAGGGTCGAACCCCGCGTTACAACATCAAAAACACAACATTAAAACGCCAGGGTCGAACCCCGCGTTTCAACATCAAAACGCCAAGGTTGAACCCGCGTTACAACATCAAAACGCCAGGGTCGAAACTCGCGTTACAACAAGCCAAAACGCGAGTGACCCTCGCGTTCATTGGTGTTCAGCCAACACCCAACCTCGCGTCTCAATCCTAAGACGTGAGGTTAGGGTCCTGAACGCCAACGTGGGCGTTTGACTCATTCAACATGAGTTGAACGGTTCTAAAACCGTTTCCCACGATTTGGGGGCGGTTACACCCCATTATGGAGAGAATTAAGGGGGCGGTTATGCCCCTTAATTCCCTATAAATAGGGTAAACTCAACTGAGTTAGGGGTTCCTTTCGGTTGGAGATTTTCTAGTTCCAAGAACTGTAAGAGGCTAGGCATTTTCGGATCTGAGAACTGGGCAGCAGAGGAGATCCTTGGAGCATTTTCTAGAGCTTGGGAGATCTGCAACAAGTGCTTTTTCAGCCTTGGCTTATTAACCGATTTTCGGTTCAAATCAACTCTTTTACAGAGTTCTTCTAAACTCGTTCAGAGTTCTCAAACTTGCCATGTAAGTTCTCCACAACGTCAAATCGTGAGGAGAAGACGTCGTTCCAGTGAATCAAGACGTGCGGATCGTCAACGGAGAGCAAACTCGACGCGAGCACTCAAGGGAGGCACTCCATCGCCACCGTGAAGAACCCAGTTTTAAACAAAGAGGAAGAACCAATTTCATTCTCCTTTCTTTTGTAATCAAGTTGTAATCAGAATCAAAGGAATACAAGTCAATTTTCTTTATTCTCTTCTTTGCAATTTTCCCTAGGAGGAGCAAATTATCGACCTCAATCGCACTGTAGCTCGACTGAGGGCCGAACTGGGGCAGGCGGAGGCGAACTCGAAGGGGCTCCAGTCTGACGTTGTGAAGGTCAGTAAGAACGCTGAGGCGGAAACTCGACGCCTCCTAGCCTTACGTCAGGCAGACGCTGTCGCCAGGTTAAGCTCGGATTCGGAAGGCTGCTGAAGACAAGGCCCGGGAAGACCACGCGAGAAAGGTGGCGGCAGCCAAAGAGGAGCTCTCCACTTTCAGCGTGTTCGACTGAGGCCTCGATCTTATGATTGTATTAAGACATTTTGCTTATGACTCGTTTGTTTATGAAATCATAACTTTGTTCAAATGTATTGTCTTAAAAAAAACTGGGTGCGTGTTTTGCTTCTTTTTGAACGTAATATTATGACTTTCGCAGTTGCAAAAAGACCATAACTTTGTTCAAATGTACTGTCTAGAAGCATCCAATGAGGCTTGTGTTTGCTCATTGTGTCACCGCCCCTCAGTGTTTTGCTCTGTAATGGTCGACAATCTCGTACTGCAGGCAAAGTTTCCTTTATGATGACGAGTTTACCTTAAGGGCCAAACTCTATCCCGATGAGTTTACCCCGTTGGCAAAGCAAAGGTGACGGCGAGTTCCCTAAGATGGCGAAGCTCGGCTCCTGACGAGTCCACATTACCGGCGAAACTCAATTGATCGACGAGTTCGTCAGCAGGCGAGACTCGATCGCGACGAGTTTCGCTTGGAGGCTGAACTCAACTGCTGGCGAAGTTCGGGTAGATGGCCAAACTCAACTGCTGGCGAGTTTATGCTGCAGGCA